TAGAGAAATGCCAATCAAAACTACATTGAGATACCATCTCAAGCCAATTAGAATGGCGATCATTAAAAAATCTGGAGACAACAGATGCTGGCGAGGATGTGGAGAAATAGGAACACTTTTACACTGTTGGTGGGAGTGTAAATTAGTTAATCCATTGTGGAAGACAGTGTGGAGATTCCTCAAGGACCTAGAAACAGTAACTCCATTTGACCCAGCAATCTCATTACTGGGTATATATCCAAAGGATTACAAATCGTTATATTATAAGGACACATGCACACGAATGTTCATTGCAGCACTGTTTACAATAGCAAAGACTTGGAACTGACTCAGATGCCCATCGATGATAGACTGGACAGGGAAAATGTGGCACATATACACCATGGAATACTATGTAGCCATCAAAAACCATGAGTTTGTGTCCTATGTAGGGACATGGATGAACCTGGAAACCATCATTCTCAGCAAACTGACATAGGAACAGAAAATCAAACATCCCATGTTCCCACTCATAGGCGGGCGTTAAACAATGAGAACACATGGACACAGGGAGGGGAGCATCAAACACTGGGGTCTGTGGCGGGGGGGGGAAAGGAGAGCGATAGCAGGGGGTGGGGAGTTGAGGAGGGATAACATGGGGAGAAATGCCAGATACAGGTGAAGGGGAGGAAGGCAGCAAACCACATTGCCATGTGTGTACCTATGCAACAATCTTACATGTTCTTCACATGTACCCCAAAACCTAAATGCAATAAAAAAAAATATCTAGGAAAAGAAAATATTGCCAAAAAGTGGTGGTATAGTGGGTTTCCTTAAGAACTGCTAACATTATTAAAATACATAAATTAACATGAATAAAACAAAGTAAGTCATACAGGGATCAATAATGAGAATATCTCATGAACCAAGGATTAACATTTAATCTAATTCTATGCAACTGAAGCCCACCAAAAATAAAACCAAAAACGTTACCACCCCTTTTAAAATCTGTCAGTGGCTCTCCATGACATTACCCCTCTCATGGGCTTTAAGCTGTGAGATCAAGCTATGATCTAAGAAAAGTGGGAAGGAATGGAGGGAGTGAGGAAGGGAAGAAAAAGGAAAGGAAGAAACTACAGCAACATTTTTTTTTTCCAACTTTTAGGTTCAGGGGTACAGGTACAGGTTTATCACATGGGTAAACTTGTGTCATGGGGGTTTGTTGTACAGATTACTTTGTCACCCAGGTACTAAGTCTAGTACCCAATGGTTATTTTTTCTGATTCTCTCCTTTTTACAACCTGCCACCCTCAAGTAGGTCATAGTGTGTGCTGTTCCCCAGTGAGCGATTCTTAGCTTAAGTCCAGCTCATCTGGCAGTGACCAGTCATTCTGGAAGTTAGGATCAAAAACAACGGCCCTGCTACCTCCCTCAACACTTACTTCCTTCTTCCTTCTTTTGGAAAACCCTAACTTTCACTGTCCAACATGGCAGCTGCTGGCTGCATGAGGCTACTTGATGAAAATGTAATAAAATGCAAGTTCAGTTTCTCAGTTACATTGGCCACACATCAGGCACCCAAGAGTTATGAGCGGCTGCTGTATCAGACAACACAGATGCAAAATATTCCACCCTCTTGGGAAGCTCTATGGCAAGCTTGTCCATCCCATGGCCCACGGGCTGCACGTGGCCTAGGATGGCTTTGAATGAGGCCCAACACAAATTTGTAAACTTTCTTAAAACACTAGGAGATTTTTTGGTAATTTTTTAAGCTCATCAGCTGTCATTAGCATCTGTGTATTTCACGTGTGGCCTCAGACAATTCTTCTTCTAATGTGGTTCAGGGAAGCTAAAAGATAGGACACCCCTGCTCCGTTGGCAATGCTATTCATGGCAAAACCTGAAATAACTTTTGCACCAAGATAATGCCTTAAACCTATCTCAGCTGAAAAGAAGGGGCACTTCTGTGTGTACACGAAAGAAGGGGCAGGACTTTGTCTACACACGCTGGAGAGTCAGGGGGTTGGCAGAGGGCATCACCGATGACCGCAGACATAGGGAGCCAGAGAGAGCTGAAGGGCCCCAATCCTTCCCGTGGCAAGTTCTGCAGCACTGCTCAAAAACTGACAGCTTCAGACAGGGACCCGAGGTGAACGGGGCCTCAGGTCAGCAGAATTCAGGAAATTGCAGTCCTTCACTCTAACTCCAGGTGAGGGTCCCTCAAAACTCTCACCTGGGAGGGTGGGCAAAAGTGTGTGTGTGAACCTCCCAGCCCTGACTTCCCTTCCCTCTCATCCCTTGTCCCTCCTTCCTCCACCAGCACCCATCTGCCCTGCCCTTCGAGGCTGCTTTGCTCTGAAGCAGCTCCTCTTCCTCTGGGGAAGATCAGAGGCTAGGCTGAGAGATGTCAAAGTGCTCACATGCACAGGGCCACAGGAAGTCACAGGGTGCAGCTGCCATTCTTTTTGAAGCACTAGGGGAGGGGGTGCGGTGAGGTCTTTCCCCCACCCCCACCCCCTGGGAGGCAGAAGGTAAATCCTCAGAAGCAGGTCACCGCAGGTGGGGCCTTGTGCTAACCAGCATTCACCTTGCCCATCTCCCATCACCCAGGACCAATAACCAGAGTATCACAGCAGAAAATGTCCTTAAAGTGGCTCATCCACAGCTGAGGAAACTGAGGCCCTGGGTGGGGAAGGAACCTGCACGAGATCACACCACCAGTGAGTGGCAGAATGGGGACAAAGCTACCCGCTTTCCTGGCTCCCACTCTTCCCACTGTGCAGGCTGGGGCTTCCAGGGAGAGCCCCAAGTCCTCATACCTGTGCCCAGTCACCCTGTACCTCCCTGACCAGTGAGCGATCCTCACCCCCTCTGCTCTCACAGGTCCTGGCACAAGGCAGTCCATGCCAGCAGGTGCCAGGCAGAGGAAGTGGCCTGGATGAGGGAGCTTGGCCTGGCAAGCAGCTGGGTTCAGCAGGTTCAGCCCTTTCCTGGTAACCAGCCTGTTTTTCAGCCCTGAGGAGCTGCCTGGAACATGGGCTCAGCTTGCCTGGGCCAGCTAGCTCATCCAGCACAGGATGAGGGAGGATCCAAGTGACCAGTGGGAGCTGACCATGGGGCAGGAGGGAGGAGAGGGCTGTCAGGGAGACCTGGGCCCCTCCTTGGGACTCTCATAGCACCTAGGCTCCGCTTATACAGCAGCTGCTTCCTCCAATGGGCCACGGGCCCTCAACAGCAGTGCTGGCGCTCATTCATCTTTGTGTACCCGGCACAGTATGAGGCACGTAGGAGGATGCCTCAGAAAACAATTGCTGAGCCAGAGAGCTTGGGGGGGCAGGGGGAGATCCCATCCAAAGCAGCTGGAGGGGGGCAGCCATCAAGAACACGGAACCTCCTAATCCCAATTTCATCACCTATAATGACATGAGCAAAGGTCTCTCCTGATCTTGTGGCTTAGAAGCAGCTCATGGCAAGAGGCTCTTGAGAGCTACTTTTATAGAGCACATGCCGCAGGCTGGGCAATCCACTCTCAGTCCTTCCTCAGGTCAACCCTGTAAGGTAGGCTCTATCACTGCCTCAGGGTTAAAACAGATTTGAAAAGTTGCCCAAAGGTGTGCTGCTTGTAAGAGGGGCAGTTGAGATTCAAACAGGAGTACACCGAGTATGCCGTGCAGCAGAGACTGTACTCTGACCCAGTCTCCATTCGTGTAACAAATCTGTGAGCATCAGCCATGTGTTGGGCACTGGATGCCACGAACAAAACCTGTCCCAGCGACCCAAGAGCTTTCACGCCAGTTAATGGAGGAGGCAGACAATTAAATAAACCAAACACACGACCCAATCACACAGTGCCACAATGAGATACATGCTATGAAGCAGAACAGAGTCAGGCAAGTGGGTAGGGCAGGGGTTGCCACACTTTTCCTGTGGAAGTAAATATTTGCTACTTGGCCGGCCAGCTTTGCAACGCGGCCTTTGTTACCATCACGCAACTCTGCCAAAGCAGCTGTGGACAGTATGTAAATAAACGGGCAGGGCTATGTTCTAATAAAACTTCATTAATGGACACTGAACATAGGATTTTGTAATTTTCCTGTGGTAAAAAAATGTTATTTTTTTCCTATTATGTATGAATATGAAAACCACGGCAGGGTACAGTGGCTCATGCCTGATATCTTAGCACTTTGGGAGGCCAAGGAGGGTGGACCACTTGAGGTCAAGAGTTTGAGACCACCTTAGCCAACATGGTAAAGCCCCCATCTCTGCTAAAAACACAAAAATTAGCCAGGCATGGCAGCGTCTGCCTGTAATCCAAGCTACTCGGGAGGATGAGGCTGGAGAATCACTTGAGCCTGGGAGGTAGAGGTTGCAGTGAGCCAAGATCACGCCACCGCACTCCAACCTGGGTGACAGAGCCAGACTGAAAACAAAAACAAAAACAAAAAACTACTCAGCTTGCAAGTTAGACAGATACACATGTTGGCCCAGGTTTGGCCACTATCACTTGCCAATTTCTGGGCTAGAGTGGCTGGGTGAGTACATGAGGATGCACTTTATAGACAGGATGGTTGAGGAAGGCCTTGCTGAGAAGGTGACATGTGACCAGAGACCTGAATGAGGTCAAGGAGAGCGCCCTGAGCACCTTGCAAAAGGAACAGCACATGCCAGGGTCCAGCCATGGACCCTGGAGAGGAGGGGGAGGTGGAGAAGCCAGCAAGGTTTCAGAAGTCAGCAAGAGCCAGGTCACGTGGGTCTCCTGCAAGGACCTTGGTCTCCATGTGACAGCAAGCTACAGATGTCTGGCATCTGCTAGCTTCATGACCTTGGGTAAGTTATTCAACCTAAGCCTCATTTTCTCATTAAAAATGGAAAGAATAATGGTATCTGTCTCAGTGGGTATTGTAGAACAAAGTGAGTGTCGTACACTAAATGAATGTCAGCTGCCAATGTTACCATCAACTCAGAGTCCAGCTGGATGAGAGGGCGCAGGGAGGGGTGGCCATGACTTTTGTCCAACTCACCCACAATGTCCACCACATCTGGCCTGATGAGCGGCTCTCCACCCGTGAGCCGGATCTTGTCGACGCCTTCCTTCACAAAGAGCCGGGCGAGGGTCAGGATCTCCTCTGTGGTCAGCAGGTTGGCCTTGGGGGTGAGCTGGACTCCCTCCTCGGGCATGCAGTACTGACCTGGATGAATGGGGATGTGGAGGGGGGAAACGGGGATGTGGAGGGAGGAAACAGGCATTGCCAGCAGCCCTGCAATAGCCCCACCTCCGCAACAGGCCAAAGTCTTTCCAAGCCCATCTGGACGTCAGCGGAGACCTCACTAAACCTGAGTTGGAAAAACCCCAGGCCAGCATCTCCCCAGGCCTTGCCTTTCTCATTTCTGAAAGGTCAACACCTTTCCCCATGCCCACCACACACAATCTGGACATAAAATCCAGGAGAAGAGGGGGGCAGGGCAGGAGAGGAGGGGGCAGGGCAGGAGAGGAGTGGGGCAGGAGAGGAGGGGAGCGGGGCAGGAGAGGAGGGGCAAGAAAGATGAACTTTGGAAGTCCCTCCAGCACTCCTTGGAGGGATTATGAAATGAGGCCTCTTTGTATCAGCCTGGCGCCAGCTGATTTGTCATGGGCCTGGAGCATCTCCAGGGTCAGCAGTGCTGGCCATGGGCATGGCTGACTACTTCACATGTTTATAATGTCCACCACCGCATCCCTGGCCATGTACTAGACTTTGGGAACTACAGGGAAATGGAGGAAAGAGCCCTGAAGAGTGAGAGGTCCTGGACCCAATCTAATTTTAAATCCAACTACGTTTTCAAATCTAATCCCAAGGAGGACACAGCTTCCACAATCATACAACTCAGTCTTGACCCCTATCTTGCCCCTAAAGCCCACCTGGCCTGGACCATGGGGTAGTGGGTGAGGAAGTTAGAAAGCAGAACTGGAGGATTCAGGAGGATTTCTGGGCACAGGGAAATTTCAGAGGCTGCTTCAGCAGGGGGACACCAGCCCAGAGAGGGCCCAGGAAGGTGACTCACATCTGAGGTTGCACTTCTCCGTGAGGGAGATCCGAAGGTAGCTGTGCTGCCGGCCGAAGCTGTCTGTGAGGATGGCAGAGAAGGGGGCTGCCTGCCCTCGCAGGAACTGCCTCCGCCTGGACAGCTCCTGCAAGGACAGGGCAGGGAGGAAGCATGGGCCCCTGCTACCAGGCTAGGGAGAGGCGCAAGGAGAACCACCTGCCCCCTCCATCACTCTGACATCTGTGCAGCACTTCTAACCCTTCCACATGTTTGGGCTCTGCAGTGTTGGGGAGGCTGTGATTGTCCCTCTCATGGAGAAATGAGAATGACGGAAAAGACCCATCTATTAAGTACTCAGCTGGGGGCGGGGTATGATCTCTGCTGGGAGAATTTCTGGCTGGGCAGCAAGGTGGAGGCAAGGGTGTGGGCGAATCTATTAGTCCTTATTCTTCACTCTAGCCAGTGCCAGAAAAAAGGATGATGCACCCATGGTCTCTGGCATCAATGGGAGGAAACTGCTAAAGCCTGCAAACAAGGTCCAAACCCGTCCTGCAGAGAGAAAGGAGGGAACCGGCTTCACCCTTTCCCATGTCCAAGTCTGGTCCGTCTCCCTGTGCTGTATCAGTCTTTTGGAGAGTTCAACCTGGATCCTGACAGACGCTGATGAGATAATTGCTCTGAGGAAGTAACATTTACCAAACATCTTAAAGTTTCCAAAGAATGTTCTGTTCCATTCCCACACCCACTACAAGGGATTATTATAACTAAGACTTGGAAGGGGTCCAATACCACCCTTGGCAGAACCAGGATTCAAATCCAGGTCTTCTGATTCCAGGTTCTAAATTCTTCCCTTCTATTACAGAGAGAGTCCAAGAAGATAGGGAAGATGACAATGAGAAGACAGGGAATTTGACAATGAGAAGACAGGGAGGATGACAGTGAGGGTGGGTAGAAGTCACTTCTTTAGAATGTTTTGGACAAAAAAATCATGACCCTGGCAGTCATGCACGAGATCCACAGAGAAGGCTCAGAAATGGGAGGACCAGAACCCCTGGTTTCTGGGACAGGGATGATCTGGCACACTGGGACGGTCCCTTAGTTTCTCCAGGCCTGTTTTTCCAGGAGCAAAGACAGGGGCTTGGTGGTGGTATCAGATGGTGGGAGGTGAACGCCTAAAATTATGATGGAGGGAAGAAGGCCTCAGGTCCTCCAGAGGTCTAGCGCAACTATGCCTATATTAGGAGGAAGAAGCATTTGCTTCAGTAAGTTTCTCGGCTCCAGCTGCACATTAGAACCATCTGGAGAACTTTAAAAAAAGACTCCACTGGGCCGGGCGCGGTGGCTCAAGCCTGTAATCCCAGCACTTTGGGAGGCCGAGGCGGGTGGATCGCGAGGTCAAGAGATCAAGACCATCCTGGT